TTGGTTAGAAACTGTCAGAATCCACATCTAAGACTACATGTAAACATGATATGTTTTTACCCACATTAGAAGACAAGTGCATGCATACAAGTTAGCTTCGTGCTGGGGGGGGGGGTCTCCTCCCCCCACTTTGGTCACCACCGTCTTAACATGTTAAGGTTTGTTTTTTGGACACAAACTCTATCGGACGGTTAAACCCCGGGGACGGTGGTGATCATTTATTCCAGCTACAAAGAAAAGCTGAAAAAAAAAAAACAGCTGAAGAACTGAAGGACTGTCCCAGCTCTGAACCCATGACCTGTCCACGGTGTCCTCCGCGTCTTATCCAAGCTAATCATATTGACTCCCGTCTTCCTTTGTGACCTTCAAATAAGGGTTGAATAATGGATGGATGGGAGAGAGGTGAGGGAGGGAACGGGGGAGGGCGAGGGAGAGGTGAGGGGGGGTGAATAAAGACATTAGGGAGTGTGGAAACAGATAGGTATAAAAATGGATGAGTGGTTGAAGAACAGGCCAGGAGAGGAATAAACAATTTCAGGAGGTTGAAGCTGAGGCCACGGAAACAAGATTGTGAAGCATGAGGTCCCAGCATCCCTCAGAGGGAGAGAGAGGGAGGGAGACAGAGAGAGAGAGAGAGAGAGAGAGTACTCCAGCCTCCACTGAATCATCACCACAGTTTTTCCCTCTCCTGTTTCCAAAGCCGCTCCATTCACACATCTGTGAGAGTGTGTGTCGCCCCGTGAGCCAGTGTGGGGGTATTTATCAAACAGGTGCGCCGCAGCGCAGCCGCACTTCCTGTGTCATTATTCATTTGAGTATCAGCCAGTGTCTCCTTCCTGCATTTTGTATAAATTACACCGTGGGACGTTGTAACTGAGATTGATTATAAACTCTTCTGGGCGTTCACCACCGTCACTTCTGTGAAGAAGACACTCCAGTTCCTCATTGCAGTTTCCGCAGCTCAGCCTCTTGTTTGTGTTTCTCTGCAAAAAACGGCGGAAAACTGGAAATAATGAGTCACTGATGTCGCAATGATTTGAGGGAAAGAAACGGCATCTGTGTCAGCAGCACAGCCGCAACCGTTGTTCTGTGACCCAGGTCTAAACATTAACTCCTCCTCCTTGTTTTTTTTGTTGAACCTTCATTACTGTAGCGATCACCTAACTACCTCTGACATATCATCGATATAAGCCATGATCTTTGAAGCACATCGAGGACACATTTGGTCCATTGCAGAAAGTCAAAGAGCTGCATGTGGTCTGGGAGCCGTAGGTTGAGACCCCTGAACAAAGGTAATAAATGTCTCTACTGCAGAAAGAAGAACAACAACAGGGAAACATTCTAACTTTCCAATAGCTGTACGCCCCCTCAGCGACCCCTGCCCCACACTTTGGGAACCATTTTCTTGGAGGTTATTATTATTTTTGGTTTCCAACTCAACAATTATGTGCAGATCAAGATGTTAGGAGTGTGTACGAAAATGAAAAAATCGTACGAATCCCGTTCAGTTGGATGTTCTGCCTCAGTACTTTTGGCACTGACACAGTTCCACTGAGCCTGACACAATGCAGTATTGTGCTGTATATATATATACTATATACTGCAGTGCCCGGCTCAGGTGCTAATCTGTATTGTTGCAGCCAGATTGTGGGTTCATCTGTTAATGCTGCAGAAGTCCGAGCACAAACCCATCACAAAGCCAGGGCTTCATCAGCCTCCGCCCCACGGAGCAGCTGCTGTGCTGCAGAGCTCACAGTCAGTGGCAGCTCCTGGTCAAATCAAAGCAAAGAAAAAAAAAGTCTCACATCATTTCTCTTTGTAGAACTGTACCTGCAGGCTGTGTGCAGGGCTGCTGTGGTCCAAACACGGGGACGCGTTCATAAATGAGTGGAGAAAAACAGTCCGTCACCCTTCAGGGGCTCGGCAGCAGGATTAGGAGAAACAAAAATAAAGCAATTAGGATTTTGTTAATGAACATCATTTCTAATTACTCGTACATAAATGAGCAGTGTACGGGGTAGTGAGGGAGGGGGGCAGGAGGAGGAGGGGGGGCTGTTAGGGATCATTAATGGTGCAACGTGCGAGATTAGGCCTAACAAGAAGTCAGGAAAAGGAATATGTCACAGTGGAGTACAGATGTGGAACGACTGGAGTCTGTGTGAACCTGGACGTTTCTGTTTCTGTTTCTGTCAGATTCCTAATTCAGATTTTACGCTAATCCTGGGGATTTTCCAGGCTTTGGTTCAGTTTTGGGCGTCAGCTGCAGTTGAACTGACACTAATGCAGTCGCTGAATGTGAAACTGTGACAACCGTGGAACTTCGAACACTACTACACAAACGGCGGCGCCACCAACAGTTCGTGATGACATTTGAAGAGCACTGATGAAGCTTTTTTGGATGGAAATCGTTCTCTTCACTTCTTGAAAAACCGGCACCATCAGCCTGTGGAATCGCAGCCAATTCCAAAGTCCTTAAGTGGCAGCGACGCCTCGCATTTTCACCTGAGAGAAAACGGAGACCAGAAGACGTGAAGATGAGTTTTCAATGACAACGTCTGCAGCCAGAAAATCCATCTGATCAAAAACTGGAGGAATCCTTCACCTCACCTCCCCTCACACTCCTGGAGGGTGGGTCCACGGGGGGGGGGTCACTGTGGGTCTGTTGGTGTTGAACGTTCATGACGTTTCAAATTAAATCCACTTCACACAAACGTGTGAAGTGGATTTAATTTGTTTGTCCCTCAGTTTATGTTGTTTACCTGAAATTAATTCACAGAAACCATTCCAAAATGAACAGTTTGATCAAATGTCTTCATGAAAACAAACAAACAAACAAACCCTGCTGCTCAGATTTTATTATTATATTATTATAATTATATTATTTTAATTGATTGATTTGTTCTTTGTTGAAGGGTTAAAATCGACAGTCGTGGCGTAAAGTCAAGTGTGTGTGTGTGTGTGTGTGTGTGGGGGGGGTGATACCAGAGTCAATGGAGCTGAAGAAGATGCTCCGGGTCAGAGGAGAGAGGGGGGGGGGGGAGAGGAGAGAGGGGGGAGAGAGGGGAGAGAGGTGAAGGAACTCAGTCGACTGTCAGAGACGACGTTGATGAAGGTCTGTGTTTTCCAGTTGTTTCACTGGAACAAACGCAGTGACTTATTTAGTTTTTGGGTAAATTATAATAGTGACACACACACACACACACAGACACACACTGTAAAGAGAGATGGTTTTCCAGCCACAGATGGCCTGTCAGAGGGGAGTCCAGGCTCTGTTGGATAACCATGGAGTGTGTGTGTGTGTGTGTGTGTGTGTGTGTTTACTCCTTTGCTTCTTCCCTCTTTCTTCTCAGCTTGTCCTTGTCTTTCTGTCCTCCCTCCTTCACCTCCGTGGTTCTAAAGGCCCTTCACTCCTTCACTCCTCCCTGTTTCCTCCTCCTTCGTTAACTCTTCCTCCTCACCTCCTCCCCTCTTCCTCCCAGTCTCCCTGCTGGGGTTTTCCTCCTCTTTCTCCTCATCCCTCCATTCCTGCCACAGTTTTTGTGCCTCCTCCTCCTTTCAAACCGAGTCAGTGGAGAGAAACAGAGTGGAGCAGCACTGACAAAGACTTCACTGTGTCTGTGTGTGTCTGTGTGTGTGTGTGTGTTGCATTCAGAGTTTTTTTTTCTGTGTGTGTGGTGAAAAGTGCAATTGCTTGTGTGTGTGTGTGTGTGTGTTCTTCTGAGGACAGAGTACTGACGAAGTATTCAGTACTCATCACGTCACGTGTACTACTGTAGGATCAGACCCGTGTTTGTTGTGGTTCATGTTCAGGGTCGAGGACTGAATTATGTCTTTGTGAGATCCTCATAACACACTAAAACCTGTATGTGTGTGTGCTTTTCTACCAGTCGGCCTAACTAACGTCATCTGTCTCACCGTGACGCTCCTTCATCTACGTTCTCTTCTCTGGACTTTCACCCCAGACTTTTTCTTCTTCCTCCCTCCTCTTCCTCCCTCCTCTTCCTCCCTCCTCCTCTTCCTCCCTCTCCAGTCTTGTCATTTTTTCCCACCTGATTTCCTGACTAAATGCAGTATATTCTTAGGCTTCCTGTCCATTTTTCAGTTTTTCTCCAAACTTTGAGCCAAATCACAGAATAACTGTCAACGTTAGCACGTCAGTAGGTGTGAGCGCTCAGAGGAGAGCGTGCGACGACGGGCAGACCGACGGTCGGTCGGACAGTCGGTCGGCAGGGAAAAGTCCTGGGTACTGTTACTGACACGGAGCCAAACCCGTGAACGTCTTTTAACACATTTTCTTGTTTTTCTTCCCTGGCAGTCACAGCCACAGACGGTTCCTGCCACCTCCTCCTCCTTCTCCTCCACCTCCTCCTCCTCTACCTCCACCACTGCCACCACAAAGGTGGAGGAGAAGAAGAAGCTTTTATCCAAGGACTCCATCCTGTCTCTGTATGCCAGCAGCTCAGTGGGTTCTCAGCCACAGCAACACCAGCCTGCTGCAGGACCAGGTAACACACCTGTGTGTACTGGCCATGTTTTCATCAACTGAATTTCCTGCCTTTACTCTCTGTACCTTTCTCTGATGTGTGGTCTATGTTTCTATTTTCTAAGGCTGTTGTGTCCTAGCATTGCATAAAAATGTGGATTTCTATTCAATTTTTTCCATTTTAATAATTCCATCTTTGAGATTAGTCACAAAAACACAGACTAAATTCTGTTCCGGCAAAATACAGAAAACATTATTCTTATATTTAGTCAATACTGATTTCTGCTGAATAGTCATAATTAGAGATGTCCAATAATGTCGGCCCGATATTAGCATAGTTATAGTCCGACAGAATGAAAACCCGATAACGCGACCGCAATCACTTGTGGTGTCCTCCGATGTTTACTGCAGATTTGGAGGGAAAACAGTTGCATATAAACTGTGTATCGGTATCGGTTGACATCGGAATCTGAAATTAGATGTTTAGACAATATCAGCATGTTGGATATTAGAAAAAAGTTAATATTGAACATCCCTTATTATGATTAATTACGAGTTATTACAGTGAATCTGTAACCAGCTCAGAGTCACTCAGCTTAGGCTAAGCTAGCCTGCTAACACCCATACCAGTCAGGGATCAGTCACCTCTGCTGCAGCCACAGTCAGGACACAGTGACGATACCTGGATACTGTCAAAGAGTAAGAAGAAAAAATATGAAGAAAAAACAACCAAATCACCCGATGTTTTATGAACCCGACACGCAATTAAATGGAATCATTTTAATGTCATCCAGTCTCAGAGGTGCAGAGACGAGTGGGTTTTACCTCAGGGACAACGCAGCGTGCATTAACACACACCTTCACATTTTACCCAGACACACACACACAGAGTGAGGGGGAAGATGATGCATTATAAAAATGGAGGCAGATGAAAGGTCAGCGTGCCGGTCCACTCCACCGTGCATTTACCGGAGAGTTCCACAGCGGCCACAAAAAATAGAGACGTGTCTGTGGATTCACACTCATTTCACAGTTATTATGAGTGAACACTGGGGTGTTCGTGTGTGTGTGTGTGTAGGCGGCTGCTTCTGCATGCAGTACATCAGCCTGAGCCTGTTCACAGAGTGGGTATGAAAGCACTGTGTTATTGCAGCCACATGTTGGACCAACCTGCACGTGTGCAGATCCCGGTGTTTCTGAAATGCTAACAAAGATGTGTGCCGAGGATTAGGAGAGGAAATCAGGATCAAGGGAACGTTCCTCGCGTCCTGAATGTCAATAAATGCTGGATGGAGATCAAAGCTAACGGCACCTCTTCAGGCTAATGCCCCCGAAATCACTCACTTCCACCCAGTGTGTAGAAAACAACCTGCTTCAGACACGGACGACGCCGCTTCTACACCTTCAACAACACATTTCTTATGAATAATCAATCTGTGTTTGTCCGACCTGAACTGAACTTTTCAAACACACGTACGCGCTAGTCACGACTGAAATCCAAAATAAATTAATAATGAAGGTTAATGAGATTAAAAAAATACAAAACAAAACAGTTTTCAGCCGTCGATTATCGATCATTTGGTAACGGGCGCAAAAGTTGTTTTCATATATTTTCTTTTGAATCTTTCGGATCGAACTATAATCCAAACAGGATAAAGTATAAAACTTGTCTTATTTTGGAATCCAAACAGGATAAAGTATAAAACGTGTCTTATTTTGAAAATCCAGGCCTTAACGATGTCTCTGTCCACTAAACTTCATAGACATATTGTATAAACAGGACGGATGTGGAGTCGGACTGACCGCCGTTTATCTCCATGGACTTTTCTTACCCAGCTTCCCCAGCGTTCCATCCAGGTTTTTACGCCCGCCTTCTGCTACAAAAGCAATTCTTTAAACGAACAAACGGGTGAACCGTGTTCGTACAAATGAGGTGAAGCTGTGAACGTCGGCGCTACACGCTCTGCCGTGAATCGCTGCGTTTGAAATCCCCGAGAACTTTTTAAAAATTCATCTTATTCATAAACCAGCGACTACAAAGTGTGTTCTGCACAGAGGAACATTAACTGTAGTTACTGCTGAAGGTACTTACACTTATTTATGTGTGTTTGTTTCAAAGGGCTGTGTGAAAGTATGACACCCTCAATATTTTTTTTCTTCCTTTTCTTTTTATGAGTTCACTTTCTTTTTCACTACATTAAAACAAATCAGGATTAATGTTCAGTTTTCCCCAGAGCTGCCACGACCTATTTCTTTCTTCTTTTTTTTTTACTCTCTCTTTAGTTTAATGCTGTTTGTTCAACTGAGACCTTTGAACATCAACAAAGACGCTAATAAAAAAGTAAAAAAGAGCAAAAAGGTAGAAACAGCAGCTCATGATGAGCAGCAGGATCAGAACTGATGGTTTTCTGAAGAGTTTTTTTTTTTTGTCATCCAAATAAGTGTTGGTGTTTCAATGTGGAATAAAAGATAAATATTATTATTTGTAAAAATATCTGCATACTTGTTTGGACTTTGTACCATTTAAAATCCACAGTGATTATTTTTCAGCTTTTGTTACATTTTTATTTTTTTCCTAATGGCTAAATTTTGCCCGTCTGTCGTTTACATTTTCCTGAGCTGGCTTTACTTTGTATCTTTTAGCCAACCTTTTTTTTTTTGTTAACCTTTAGCTGCGTCTGGGCTAATTTTGGGGATTTGTCCACTGGAGCGTTCTGCTACATTTGTCGTGTTTAAAGTGGCCTTCCTGCAGAGGTTTTGGTGTTAGCCTGACGTCAGCTCACACCATGAAACTCTACACTGAGTTTTCCGACTAAGATTATACAGAATTTTGTTAAACTTTGTTGCGTTGCTGATCTAGTCAGACAAACTCTCATATATTTATTTATTCCTATATTTCCTACTGCACGTCTGTGTTTGCCTCCAGCAGGCATGTACATGGGCTACGTCCCAGGAGTGGGCGGCGGGGCCATGATGACCAGCATGCCTTTGCCTAATGGAAGCTACATGGGAGTTCAGCAGCAGCAGCAGCAGGGCATGATGTCAACCAACCAGGGACAGGTCATGTACGGCGTGCAGCAGCAGCAGCAGCAGCAGCAGCAGTGGAGCATGAACCAGGTAACACACGACATCACGACACATGTTCAAAACCAATTCATTACTTTCACAGCGATCAATCTCTTTTCTTCCTGTGGTTTTTGTTCCACCTTGACTTCATCTTTAGGCAGTAGTTTTTTTTATTAGTGTTTGACTGAGTCTTATTTTTCTGCACAGCAATTTTCTTTTTTCCTGTGAAACACTGTTATTAGAACAGGGTCTCAAAAAGTCGTCCTTTCTCGTGTAAAACCTCAGCCCATCAGACTCATGATGTAAAGAAAGAGGACTTTATCTAAAAGAGGGAATTTTTAGGAAGAATTTAAACTGATTTTTCTACTGTAGTAAATGTGGTTAATTATTTCGATCAACTTTATAGAACATATTATATTCATATTTCCCTCCTCTCTCTCTGTGGTTTCTGCTCAGTAACTGCAGTGTCTCTGTATATGACTTTTACATTAGAGCGTTTGTGTCTTTATGGGTGAATAAATCACAGCGTCTAATAATAAACATCCCCTCGATGGGCTGTGCACAGAACACCACCAGGACGTCGTGGGCTGAGCTGAGTTTACTGTTGGTTTTTCATATAAAGGCTTTTATTTTCTCCTCATAAACCAAACCGAGTCACTGATATTCACAGGGTGGTCTTATAAAAGAGCCGGCAGGTACAAGTGCTGTCAGCATCCTGACAACACGGGAGGTTAATGAGAAATCGTAAATGACTGCTGACACACACACACACACACCAATACAGTAGCAGCTTTTAAAGGCTGGATAATCTGCAGGAAAATGCAGTTTGATGGTTGGTTTTACAAAGAGTAGTTTCTCTACTGCAGGTCTGAGCCTGGCTCACTCTCATGCATGTGCACACACACACACACACATACAGGCAGTAGCTCACCCACGCACACACTAAAAGACACACTTTTACCTTCCCACCTACACACAGCTCTCAGATGAGCAGATAAGTGAGCAGCACTGCACCAAAGCACATTCATAATAGATGAGAGGGAGAGAGAGGAGAGGAAGAGGAGGAGGAGGAGGAGGGCGGGCAGGAGGAGCAGAGGAGGTGGAGAGGGCAGGGATCAGGGGAAGGTGTAAACCTTTGAGAGACGGACTTAAAGAAAAAAGATTAAAAAAAAAGAAAGAAGAAAGAATTGAAAAATTGGAGAGTAATGTGAGAGTCAAAGGCAGGAGGATGGCTGTTTCTGTTTTTTTCCCTTCTCTCTCAGATGACCCAGCAGATGTCTGGCCTGGCGATGAGCAGCGGAGAGTCGGCGTCAGGGTGGCCCGTGGCCCCGCCCGCAGCCTCAGGCCAGACCCTCAGTACTCAGCTGTGGAAGTGATGACCTGCGGGTCAGGTCACATGACGTCACGTGAGAGGCCGAGGCTATGTTCAGATTACTAGGACGAGGTGAAGCGTAGCGAACCCTAACGTAGATTTAGACTTTACTCCGACTTTTTGTGCTGTGTGGACGTGGAACATTTGGACATTTACGGTTTAAAGTCAGTGACTCTAATGCAGGACATGTGTGCACCGGGCTGTGATCTGTCAAAAAAAAACTTTTTTTTTCCTCCAGTACTGATGTTAAACCAGGACTGTGTGGCCCCTGAACCAAATATGCTGAGGCTCCAAAGACTGTGCCGTGATTAGTGAGAGTAAAATACCAAATTTAAAGAACCTGGTGGAGTGTCAGCGTCCCACTCTCATCAAATCAAATCAGACGTGGGCTCATTCAAAATTCAACAACTTGGTTAGTAATATGAACCTAACCGTAAAGTGGCTGTTACAAAAACACACAATAAGACCGTCGCTCCTGCACCGATTCTCCTCCCAAAAACCTAAGACGAGGCAACAGAAAAAAAAAAACACCAGAGTTGCAGCTGCCGTCGTGTCCTGTCGTCGAAATCCAGTTGAAAAAATTAGAAAAAAAAAACGAGAAAGGGTCTCTTCACACCAGACGCACAGCGATTTTATTAGCATCTGCGTTATCTGTTAGCCGTTAGCGACTTTGGAGACACCAGTTTGCTGCTCATCTGTTTGTTGGTTGTTTTTTTTTTTTTTCTTCAACAGGGACCAAATGATTTGATTCCCTGGTTTAACACAAACATCTGTTCACAGTTTGAGTGAAATAATAGTTTTAATGTCAGACCTAGCGTTAGCATTTTCATGCTCAGAAAAACCTCATTTTTGCTACTGTTGCTCTATGCTAACGATGAAAGCACTTAGCATTTTCATGCTCAGAAAAACCTCTTTCATTTTTGCTACTGTTGCGCTATGCTAACGATGAAAGCAAACGCACATAGTCATGTCTTTCTTCTATAAAGAAAATGAACAAAATCAGTTAAGTATAGAATGAACAAAGTACAAAATTGACTGAACTCTGCCTTGTATCTGGTGTGAACTCAGCCCTGGTCTCGGTGAAGAACTTGAGGACAGGTTAGCGGTTCGTCCTTCGCTTCGTTCTGCAGTAGATTTGACAAACTCGTGGATTGGTTTCATTTTCTCCTCTCCGACTTCCTGCCGTGTAAATACGAACCCTAACCTCCACTTTTCTGACCCTCCAACCATATAGCGCCCCCTCCCCATTGTAGGCTGAGCAGCGCCTTGTAGCAGATAATAGTGTGAGCAGTACTGTATTTACTGTATTTACTGTATTTACTGTATTTACGTGAATGTGCAGTGAATCCCTCAGAGCCATACGGGAGAACTTGAATCTCCACAGGTTTTTCCTTGACTTTTATGAATTACATGACACTGTGTGTGTGTGTGTGTGTGTGTGTGTGTGTACATTTATATATATATATACATATACTGTATGTCCGTGTGAATGATCTGGAGGTTATGGGTCCGACTTTGTTCAAAACATCATGGAAATATTTCTCTCAACACCTGAGTGAACACTGACCCAGAGTCTGTTAGAGGAATAGGCGACGTCGTCCCATATAAACAGCGTAGCCACCGAGCGCTAGCATAACTGTCCTTGGCACATGTTCCTTTGGATCAGTTCGGTTGACTTCAACTGTTAAACTTTAATCAAATAATCAAATGTTATTTACACATTTACTGCCACAAACAAGTCACACTTTTAGACTTGTTTTTTTTTGACAGACAAACCGGTGGAAATGACGTGTGAATCGGCTGCAGTAGAAGTTTAATGATGACAAACGTCAAACTTGACAAGATTCTGCAGAATCGAACGCCATTTGCTGCCATTTCGGTGCGAACTACACACTGAATGTACACACTGCTCCACTGCTGAACAGTAACTCATTACTGTAGTACTGTGAATACTCACCGAGCAGCTTCACCGTTACCATGAATGACTTTAAATACTACAGTAACTTAGACCACGGTTCAACTGCAGTTTGTCTGATTTCAGTGTAAATATTTGAGTGGGAGAGATTTTAGTTTAGCATTTTAGTGTGAACGTAATCATTATGTTTCATTCAACTAACAATATTTACATGATATAGAAACATAAGAAGACAATTATTTAAAGGACAGGATGAAAAAAAAATGTTGGAAACTCAAAAACAATTCTCCGTCTTTGGGTCGTGACCCTGGGAATGACCGACCCAATAGAATCAACTGTATTCTGGACATTTAGAGGAAAAAATGACCGACCCAATAGAATCAACTGTATCCTGGACATTTTGAGAAAACATATAAACTTATGTCACAAAAAAGATCATTTTGAAAAAGCTCTTCAATCTCTTCTGAGGTTTGTGATCCAGACTGATGTCGGTGCGATCTGAATTATTATTAGTTTTTAATCAACCCTAAAATACTAACTTTATTTCCTTCCTGTGAATCTGCAGTAATTAACCCTCCGACCTGAAAGTCCTCTGGAGTTTCGTTAGCGGCCTCGCTGCGTGGTTTTGCACCGTTTTAACAACCAATGGGGGCCGGGGAGGGGGTGGTTCACAGGAAGCTGGGCTCTGACCCAGTTAAGGACCGTTCCTCATTGTGTGAATGAGCCACTTCGCCCCTGCTCTCCCCGAGGCAAATTAAAGCCCTGCTCTGGAGTCAGAGCTGTGTCTGCTCCGCTCTTTAAATCACAGAGCAGGTTCTGAAGCCCCGACTGTGTCGAGGTCTGGTCTCCGAACCAAGTCCACGTCCAACGGAATGATGGGAAAATCCAGTTGATTCACGCCTAAATAAAACTCCAGGATAGTCTGGAATGTTTCTCCTTCAGTGTGGTGTCGTGTGTGAAGATGATGATGTGACGTCTGCCATCTTTACTGTGGTTGAGGTTTCTATTTTTGACGTGTGCAGTACAAGATAAGCACAAGTGCTCCTCAGTTAATAAACCTGGACGGCCAATCAGAATGCACTAACAGAGCCACGGAGTATATGTAAGAAGTGGGCGTAGCCAACTGGTCGGTTCAGGTGATTTTGGAGCCAACAGGTTTGATACCTCTCTGAGAAACGGAACTTCAAGTATTCAGTCTAAAAACTGTAGTTTTCTACTTTAAATCAGAGTGTAGCGTTACTTCTATCTGAATCATCGGTTTCCAACTACACTTCCACTAGTAGGCAGCAGATGGCTATAAAATGAGAGAGAGAGAAAGACATGCAGTGCTGTTGAAAAAGATCTTTCTTCAATTCCTGCGAGTATGAGTGTTGTTTTCAACTAAACAGGCTCAGAAAATCATCATCAACACTGGTCTATTGGATAATGACACTAACACTAAAATGTCAGTCATCTTTAATTGAACGTTGTGTTCATTGTGTAGATTGTGATCCCATTTAGTGGAAAATGAACTCTACAGACATAGCCGAGTCTTTCTAGTTGTTAATTTTTCTATTTGTTCATTTTAAGGCTTCAGAATTAGACTCTTTGACATCGGCCGACTCTACTTATATATGAATTCTGGAAGTATTGGACAAGGAGCTGATGTCGGAGTGAAAGGACCTGCATGAAAACACTGGACTGGTCCTTTAACGGCTGTCAGTCTGTTGGCAATAAAAGTGTGTTTACACTGTTAATAATAACTGTTATTATTCTAAATAATAAAGCATTGATTGGTGGAAACACATGCAGGGATGAATGATGTCCTCACTCACAGGGTCCCCCTGCTGCACAGTAACTGTAGTACAACCTGTACACTCTGAGTATCTGCCGTCCTCCAGGTTTATTTACAGGGTGTTTACATTTTCTGGTGCCTGGTACAGAGAAAAAAAACGAGTGGTGCTTTAAAAAGGTGAATTTCTGTCTCGGTGTTTTGTCTTCGTCCGATGACTCCTTGAATTGTAAAATAACCGATTTTGTTTTTTTTTTTGTTTTTTTGGGAGAATTTTGTTTGAACTTTATTTTGTTTCATCTTTTACAAGAGGGTCGTCTGGAATAAAGGCTGTAAAAATAAGTACTATCAAATTCTGTCTTATTTTTTTTCTTCTTTTTATTTCCTGTGTGCTTCAGTCTGTCCCAACTGTCAACGTTAAACCTGGCTTAGCCCCCCGCTAAGATAGAGTCGTTCTCAGGTAAGGGTGGCGTCCTCTCTGGACACAGGGACACGCTGAGAGACAAACAACCATTCACACTCACATTCACACCAAAGGTCAAAACCTGAGAAAACCATGTGACTCTTGAGTTCTAGTTTGAAAATAAATAAAAAGTGACACGGTGGTTCTTTTATTGCCTCTTTGAATATGGGTTTAATGAAGGAGATACACATGGGTCAAATACAGACGTGATGCCCAGAACTGTAGAACTGTCCGCAGCAGCAGAGCCCAGGCCCAGTGGTCTGCTGTATGTGAAGCTAACCAGCGCTAACGCTCTGCTGAAAAACACGTTTGAACGTTCACCCACGCGTTAACGAGAGTCTCTGATTAAAAACTATCACCAGGATTAATGTCGTGAAAAACGGGACCACAGGCTCCCCTGGTGGTGCTGATGTGTATTTATTGCACAGTGACACAGGTGAAGACGGTGAATGTGCTAAAGGTGGACGAAAACAAACAAACAAACGTCTCA